CTCCTGTGCATCTCCAGCAGCAAGGGCCACAGCTGAGCATGGGCACCAAGCCTGTCCCCAGCGCCGCAGCTGCTGTCGCAGCATTTGACAGTGCACGGACACCCAGCAGCCGGATGGATCAGCTCTAGCGTGGGCAAGAGGCACGTGGGGTCAGCCAGCTGCCAGGGTGGAGGAGGGCCAGGAGCACCAGCCCTCCCCGTGCCCACTGTGTAGGAGCCGTGCGTTTTCCCTCCCAGGGGCAGCCATGGGCAAGCACAGCAGCAAGCTGGCCCCAGAGATGCTGGATGACCTGGTGAGGAGCACGGAGTTCAGCGAGCAGGAGCTGAAGCAGTGGTACAAGGGCTTCCTCAAGGACTGTCCCACCGGCATCCTCAACCTGGAGGAGTTCCAGCAGCTCTACATCAAGGTGGGCTCCAGCCGGGGGCCCAAGTGCTGCCTGTGGGGCTGGAGCACCCTGCTCCTGCTGGGGCAAGGGTGCTGCTTGGGGTGCAGCCTCTGCGCTGAGCTCCCCCTCCCCATTTCGATCTCTCTCTTCTCTCCTCCCTCCAGTTCTTCCCCTATGGAGACGCCTCCAAGTTTGCCCAGCACGCTTTCCGCACCTTCGACAAGAACGGTGATGGGACCATCGACTTCAGGGAGTTCATCTGTGCCCTGTCTGTCACCTCCAGGGGCACCTTTGAGCAGAAACTCAACTGGGCCTTTGAGATGTATGACCTGGATGGGGATGGGAAGATCACGCGCTTGGAGATGCTGGAGATCATTGAGGTACCGGTGCTTAAAATCAGCAGGGGTAGCTTGCTTTTTCCAGGCTTTTCACAGCTATTGGGTCCCTTTTGGCACTAAAGAATGAATTTTCCTGCCCAGAACCTTGTCTGAAAGGTACCTGGTGTGCACCTGATTGTAGCTGTGCAGCAGCATAGCTCGTGCCAGCGGCTGACTGGGTCCCAACAGAGCAGCAATCCTGTCCCCTGCCTTGTCCTGGGACCTTCCACCCATCCAACATTCCCATTCTGGTACTTTCCTTCTCTTCTTGCTCCAGGCCATTTACAAGATGGTGGGGACTGTGATCATGATGAGGATGAACCAAGACGGGCTGACGCCCCAGCAGCGCGTTGACAAGATCTTCACAAAGATGGACAAGGACAAGGACGACCAGATCTCCCTGGAGGAGTTCAAGGAGGCAGCGAAGAGCGACCCCTCCATCGTCCTCCTCCTGCAGTGTGACATGCAGAAATAGAGCCCTGGGGGCTCATCTCTGGACTGGCTGCAGCCAACCTCTGCTCCCCGTGATGGTTTCTGTCCCCATTTTCTGCTGAGCTCCCCCCGCTTGGCCCCAGGCATGAGCCACGCTCCATCCCTCCTGCACCCATCCGCCTCTGCTCCCGGCTGCATCCTGGGAAGCCCACAGTCCACGGGCTGTAGCTCTCCCTCGATGGGTAGAGCCTGCTCTGGGTATTGCTGGATTGAGGTTACCCCCAAACAACCCCTTCCCACCCTGGAGCTGGACTCCCTGCAGCCGATGGTGAGCATCCTGGCTCCCCAGGGCCAGTGTTTCCCGTGTCCCTGCTGCTTTCTCCCTGCTTTCCCCCACTGCTCCGCCTGGCCTGTTCCCTGATCCTAGCTGAAACCAGCTCTTTCCCCTTGCTGCTGATCCCCCCCTCATTGCTTGTGATGCCCCCAGGGAAGCTGAAAAGTCCCAAGTCCTGTCCCTGGTCCCTCCTTCACTGGCAATTTCTTGCAAGGCTGCCTGAAGGGGCCAGGGCTGGCCCCAGGGTGCTGGGGAGCTCAGGCAGGGTGCTGCACCCTCCCCGAGGGCTCGCTGCCTTGGCTCCCTCTGCCCGGCTTTGGCTTTCCATCTCTGCTTTTGCTGCTGGGAAGGGCCAGGGTTGGCCAGGGGACTTTAGGGGAGAGCAGAAGTGTCCAAGGCCACCCTGGACGCAGCCAGTATCTGATCCCAGAAGCCACCTTCTGCCCCATCGCCTGTGTCAGCTGGCAGAGCAAGTGGATGACCTCCACAGCTGCCCCAGCAGCATCTTGCATGCTTTTTGGAGTTTCTGGCCTTCCTGGATATTGAGGTGATGCCTGGGGTCCCAAATTGAAGGCAGGGGCTGCTTGACTCCTCCGCAGGCTGCCCTGGGGCGAGGTCAGGAGCGTGGGTGTTGAAGGCATGTCCTGGTGCTGCTCCTGCTGTGTGGCACTGCTGTGGGTCCTGGATTGGGGCTGTGGAGAGGCTTGGATGGGTCCTGTACCTGCTGAGCCTCCTGGCAAGGCTCTGAAGCCACAAGAAACAGGTCTGCCTCCTTCCTCCCCCCATCCCAGCCTGCTGCCTCCATCCCTCCTGCTCCAGGGCAGGAATATTGTCACAGATCAGTATTTAGTCTGCATGTTGTGGTGTTGATGACTGTAATATCTGTTAGGAGATGGTGAAGTCGTTATCTATTTTTTTAATGGAGAAATAAACTGTCCCCCTGTGTGTGGTGGTGTTTCCCCCCCACCATGGCTTATTGGGGGGCAGCTGGCTGCTGCAGCTATGGGGAGAGTGAGATGACAACACTGCTCCTGAGCATTGTTTGTGGGTCTCATCTGAGCCTGTGACACTGCAAGGGATGGAGAAGCCCTTGGGGACAGCAAGGTGGGGCCCAGCCTGGGAAGCCCTGAGGATGGGTGAAAGTGTAATTCCAGCCATGCAGGTAGCTCTGGGGAAGGGAATGTTCTCTCTCATGGGGGATAGGACCAGACATCCCTGGTCTGTGCTGGAAATAGCTCTTTGTCAACCAGGAGCCTGGACCCTCGTTCCCTTCATTCAGGGCTGGGCAGAGCCAGAGGACCTGGTGGCTTTGTCCTGGGCCACATCCCAGTGCCATCAGCAACTGGGACCTGCTGTCGCCGGGTCTCTGTCCTTCTCAGCCTCCTCTTTTCCACCCCCATCTTCCCTGCACATATTTTCCTCTGGCCTTTCTTCTCCATCAGCAGCCTGCAGAGACTGTGGCTGTTGCTAAGGAACTCTCACCAACTTTAAATACTTCTCTGTAGTTAATCAGGGAGGGCTGGCCCCGCTTCAAGCCTGGCTGTGCGGTGCTGCCCACCCCGCCTGGCTCCAGCGTGCAGGGAGGTGCGTGGCTCTGCTGCCACCCCGCACATCACCTGCATCCATCCTGCAGCAGCCAGCACCTGAGCACAGAGATGGAAGGATGTTAAAACCGTGGCACTGCGTGTATATTTTTAGGAGTGCTGCTGAGGGAGAGCTCTGTGCACCTTGGGTTGTGCTCACCTGGGCTGTGCGGGAGCATGCGTGTATGTTTGCAGCTCAGCGGTGCCTATGGAAGGAGGGACAGGGCAGGTTCTCCCCACTGTGTGGGAGCCTGGGGACGTGCCAGGGCTGAAAGGGCAGTAACTCAAGCTCAAGAGGGGACTCCGAGAACAGCCTTGGTGATCCCAGGGCCCTTGAAGCTCCTGCTTCCCTTGGGGCCACCCCAAAGGAAGCTCAGGTATTTCCCAGGGGGAACCTGCAAAGGCCCTGGGGAAAGGCAGTCTTTGATGAGGCTGAAATGATGTTAAACTCCCAGGAGGGCATCCCAAAGGGTTTGGGATCCAGGGAGCTGGGTGAGCCCTGGAGCCAGCACTGCTCACCAGCACCTGGCTTCCCCTGGCTCTGCTCTCCTGGTTGAACCTCGGAGCAAGCAAGGTCGTGTTGGATCAGTCTCCTGGGCAGGGACATGTGTGTCCCCGAGACTGTGGTCTGTAGGGAAGTTTGGTGGTCAGCTGCTGGCACAGAGCTTTGGGCAAAACCCTTCTGCTGGCCTCGGTGCTGGGGTTCTGTGACCTCCCAGGCGCTGCCCTGTGCCAGGTGAGACGAGGTGGGATCCTCCATCACTTGGCCCTTCCCGACTGCTGAGTTTTGGTCTCTGGGGCACACTCCCTGCTCTCTGAGGGTCTCTGGGCTGTGGGGGTCTGCTGGGCATGGTGCAGTTTGCAGCCTGAGCTGACAGCAGGCTCTGTGCACAGCTCTGTGGCTGGACTCAATCCCACCAGCACTCGTGGGAGAGCACTGAGTGAAGAGCCTTAATTAATATCCACGCTCGCTCCATTAACTAGCGCAGGTTACCTTGGCACGGAGCATCCTGTGACCCGCCACCCGTGCTTCCCTCCAGCTCCACGGGCTGACCACACTTGCGCCCTTCCAGCCGCCCAGTCCCCTGGCATCGGTGCCACTCGGTGCTTTGCAAAGAGGGGCAAACCCCAACGACCCCCCGATGCTCTCGGGCCGGGAGTGCGCTGGTGTCTCCCGTGGGTGCCTTGTCACCTCCTGCTCCCCTGTGCTCCCCAGGCTCTCTGCCATCGCACCTTTCCCTCCCAGCCCCTTCCCTTTGCTCCCCGG